ACTTTGCTCTGGCAAAGCCTCAGAAGCGTGGGAACCCGCCCAGTGCCCCTGGTCTGCTGGAGACGGTCTCCAGCAGACCAGGGGCACCGGAGCAGCTTACGAACGGGGCTTTCTCGCCCCGGAGCTCGCAGGTAACAATCCGCTACCTCGACCTCCAGGGCGAGAAAGCCCCGTTCGTCAGTGCGGATCCGACGTAAGTCGGATCCGCGTAAGTCGGGGACTGCCTGTACTTGCAGCAGGAAATGCCCATTGGACCTTCGTGGCTCAGCTGTTTTCCTGTCCTGTAATTCAGCCTCCCTACTGCTCTGATGTATTTTAGGCAGGGCTTGACAAATAATGCAATCTACTCGCCCGTGGCAAGTAGATTGCAACCCGGAAGAGCTGGGTTCGGGCAATCTGCGCATGCGCAGATCGCAGGACAGCGCGGCTGGCGAGCGGGGCTCACTGTGGTTTGGCGAGCCCTGATTTTAGGTATATTTCAACCCAGTCAATCAACCTGGGGTAGGCAATAATTTTTTATGGGGCCCATTCCAATAATTTGGTAAGTGGTCAAGGGCTGCACTCTTCCATGATATTAATGGAGGAGGTGTGAGTTCTGGGACGGAGGTTGGGTGCAGAAGGGAACTAGGGTATTGGGGAATAGGAGGGAGTGTGAGCTCTGGGAAGAAGTTTGGGTGAAGGAGGGGATTGTGAGCTGGGGCAGGAGACTGGGTTGCAGTCGGAGTATAGGATCTGCCGGAAAAGCCTCCGCTGTTGGCAGAACCGCGGCTACACTTTACTTTCACTTTCAACACTGAGCCTGATTGGCACAGCATCGGAATGTGAGTATGCAAATGCAGCCCGGGATATTTAAATCCCGGGATCATTTGCACTTCCGAAGTGCTTGATTTGCATCCCTCTGTCAGCAGAGGGATGCAGTCTAGATGTAGCCAAAATGACCAGTTGTTCTATTTTCAAATCCCTTCTATAAACTCAATTATTCTGTGATGCCATTCGTGGTGGTGGTGATGATGATAATAACAACAATTAATAATAATAAAAATAATAAATAAATTATAACCACAAATTATCTCTCCTACTACATTTTCTCTTTAAATTATCAGCCCTTCAAAGGAAGAATTGTCCACAACGTTCTGTGACTGGTACAGTGTCCAATAATAAACAGTATATGTTGTTACAGCATTTCTAAAGAGCATCATCTTGCTTGAAGTAGACGTGTCCTTGCTATTCACTTCTATTGGGACGTTTTCATATCTGTATTTCTCACAAGATAGTATACTATATGATTTCCCAAACCACCTTTATCACCATACTATTGGAGCACCTTTCAGTAGAGCATTAAGCAACATAGCTAACATTTGTCATGAGTAGTTCATTTTTGCTCTTTCCTTCCTGGGGAGAA